TGTCCAAGCTAAAGATGAGGGGAAACTGTAAGATATTTTGTCTCAGTGGGCTTCTTATTGTTTTCTCATATAACACAGCTGGTAAGTCATTTTCAGAGGTTTTCAGTAGACAGATAATCAGAAATCACGCGCACCTTGTAATGTAATGGAATGTGGCTGTGCTGTTGTAATATAAATTCGATATATATTTTGAGGTATGAAATGCAAATATTTGTTGTTACTATTCATTAGGTCAAACATGGGGACACAGGGGACGCTGTGGCGATGTACTGGAGAAGTGCTCCTGCCATGCCACCTGTATGTCTTTGATGAGCTGCTGTGCAGACTACAATCAGTCCTGTTTCCAGGTGATGCCTCATTCCAGCTCCATGCTGGGCGGAAAAGCGCTCAGGATCCTCGGATTGGACCTTCATCCCCATGGGCAGCTTCTCTGCAGGTGTGTTTTTGTAGTAAAAGAGTGTAATCCTCAATTTTAAGGTCAGAGATATTTTACTAGGATTTAGATGGCATTGTAGATAATTAGCCAGATCCCAGCAAACTGATGGGAAATGTGGGGCGGAAAGTACTTTACCTGTGCTGAAAGGTGGTCTAAGATGTTAACATAGCTTACTAAACTGTGAAGGTGAAAGGTTTGGCGTTTATGTTTATACACTAAGCGTGAACGGAATCTAAGGTTTGTAGTCGGATTTCACTAGTCTCTCTATATTTGTGTTTTCCATTTGAATCACACAGTTCTTGTTACTAATAAATTGTGTTCTTTTTTTTTGCAGGTTTAAAGGTGAAATTTTACGTGATGGATTTATTGATATTGAGGGCCGTGCATACTGTATTTCTCCTCTGTTGTATGAGACGGGTTGGATACCATTTGATGTCTCAACAGATGGCATTAAGTTTGACAGATCTGCACAGTATTTCTCAGGTAAGCTGCTGAAATATAAAGCTGTTAATGTCCTGTCTCTAAACTGATCAATATCCAAACCTTTTTGGGTATTAACTGTCTATTAGGTTGAGAAACTATAGAAAATATTTTAAGTGCTATTTGAAGAAGACTTTATTGCAGATACAGTATTTTAATTCCCACTTCCCCAACTAGATATTGGCCAGTGTGAAAAAATTAAATAATATAGACGCATTTTGCAATTATTCATGCTGCTTCCAATACATTATTAAAACTGTTGCTACAACTTGTGAATTACAATTACATTTGTTGTGTTTAACTATCAGTCCATCCAAGTAAAGCAGATCCTGCTTATAAAGTTACCCTGGTGAATGCAATGCAGTGGCAATACTACGGCACGCCGAATGTGGCAGGACGACTTGAGTTCACTTGGAATAGTTCTTTGATCAGCGCAGAGAAGGTCAACATAGAGCTGTGGGGTTACAGAGAGTTTAAAGCAAAAGAAGAGACAAATGCATCAGCCCTT